TTGTTGGCCATAAAATTCCTTGGAAAATATTTTTTTAAAATATACGTTTGTTGCTCTGATGTTCGTGAACAAATATTTTTTAAAAATCGTGATTTGCAGCCAAAAAAATATTTTCAAAAAAAATCCAGGTTCATTGGCTTAAAAAAAAATCCTCGGGAAAATATTGTTTGAAAAAATGTATAAATTTCGTAACATAGGTCTGATGGTTCTTCTAAAAATATTCCTTAAAAATCCACGTTTGGTAGAACTGGTGGTCCTTGAAAAAATATTCCTTAAAGAAATCCAGGTTTGATGAAAAATTATTGGAAAACTGTTCTTTGAAAACCCACTTTGATAACACTGATGTCTTTAAAAAAATATTTTTAAAAAATCCACTTTCAAAAATTGAAAAATCCTTAAAAAAATATTTTTTTGAAAAAGGTATATTGATCCGGTTACAAAATATTCTTAAAAAGTCCCGGTTTGTCGGCTAGGCAAATCCATGGAAAAAAATATTAAAAATTCACTCTTGTTTTTCTGATGGTCTATACCTCAACTATATCTTCAAAACTGCCTCCAAACTATACCTCCAAAAGTTAATGAGATTTTTGTAAAATAATACATTTTGAAAAATCTACGACAATTACAGGACTGGTACATGAGAAATATTCCTAAAACAAATAAACAATTATGTATATATGATTTTTTTTATTCATTAAATGATTCAATTTCATAAAAAATCATTTTTGAAAATTCACGATTTTCGCTCGGCCTCATTTGTTAAAATTCTCAAACCTATTACCTTTAATTTAATTAATAGAAACATATTTTCCATACATTTGGCAAAACACACAAATGTGGGTGTTGCGGTTATCAAAGACATTTGTCGAAAAGTCATTAAACATATTAAAAAAAGAAAATGATTGGGAAAAATACAATTTTCATTGCCTTGGCGAAAATGATGGACACAAATCACAGGCATCAAACATTCTTTCTTGTGGCAGGGCAGAGCCGTATTCAATAGGGTGTCCTAATTATCAAATGTTGTGAAGAATTTATAAGATCAAAATATTAGTTTATGGTATTTAGAGGAAAATCTTGTACGGGACACCCTAATAAACAACACATTAAAATTATTAATATTATTAAGCGATTAATAAAAAAACATATGCCTTGGTGTTTTTTTGGTTTCTGTGGTCATTTAAACATCAATCCAAAAACCAAGACATGTGGAATTGTCAATAGTTGGGAAAGTTAGACCATTTGGAGCACTACATTTGACTTTTTATATGACTTCAATTTCAAACATTTTCTGAAGAAGTATTTAAATTCCAATTATGGTTTTTGAAAAAAGCACAAATGCGGATTTTAGGAATTTAGAGTCCAGCAGACACACAAACGCGAATTTTTTAAAAATATTTTTTATGACTATAGAACACAAAGATTTTTTTAAATAGTTTGCCAGATAACTGCAGAGCTTCAAACGCTGATTTTTCGAAAATATTTTCTCAGGAGTTATAAACTTAGAGTCTTACAAAATTTAAAAAAGTATATATATATTTCTGATCAGAATAAAATTAAAAGGCGATTTGGCGATATCCGTCTGTTGAGATCACGATAGAGGCCAGATTTTTTAATCGAGAGCTTAGAAATTTGGCTGAAAGGTTTATAATATATACAGGCTAATTGGTATTTAAAACGGACTATATTGGTCCACGATTAGGTATAGATTTTGGGTATTTTGAAGATTTTACTTGGATGAACATAGTATTGGAGGGTATGCAAATTTCGGCCTAGCCTAATTTAAAATCCTCTTTACTTGTTAATTTTTTAAACCTATGTTTATAGTCATGAGAGTTGCTGATTGATCCATAATCGAGATTGTAAGAGTACACTTTCAGCGACCAAAAAAAGCCCAAGAGTGGCTTCGAAACATATTTTGTTCGGGGGGAAAATTAATCTATATTAATAAGCTAGCTGAAGCTAGAATCTTTAAATTTCGGGTGAGTGTCACTCTTCGTCCGAAGAGATCAGATAAGGCAGAGTTTTTGGAAATTCGTGTTAGAAAAAAGGTACTAAATATGGTATCATTTGTGAGGGTCACAAATAGGATGTATAATAGATGTATAAAAGGGTTTACGAAAAGTACTAAAATGTACCACATCGTATCATGTGAATGGTTAGAACCGATTTGATATTGCGATATGGAGGAAATTTTCGAAATTTATACTTATGTGCACGAAAAGTACTAAATGGTACTAAATTTGGTACAATTTTGATTTGGGTGGACATATGAAATGTGAAATTTGTTATTAGGGTGGCTGCTCATATTTAGGGTAAGGCTAGAATCCTCAAATTTGATGTTGTGATTTCTGCTGGTATCTGGAATAGAGATAGTACTAAATGGTAATAAAAAAGTACTAAATGGTACTAAATTTGGTATTGAGTGAGAGAATAAGGGTGGAATCCTCAAATTTTATATTAAGATCTCTGTCGGTATCTGGAATTGAGATATATAGGTGGGTTTTGGAAATACGTCCTATATTTGTAAGAAAAGTACTAAATAGTACTAAATTTGGTATTGGCTGAAGATAAGATCTAAATTTCCGAAATATGATATGGATGTCACTATTGGTGCCTGTGGTTAAGATATGAAGGTGGTTTTGAAAATGTATAATATAATTGTAAAATACTAAATAGTACTAAATTTGGTGTTGGGTGAAAAAAAAATACTGAAATCCTTAAATTTGATATTGATGCTTTGGTTGATGTCTGTGGTTAAGATATGGAAGTGTTTTTGAAAATACGTCCTATCTATGTACAAAAAGCACTAAATGGTACTGAATCGGGTATTGGGTGAAAGGACAGAGCTGAAATCCTCGAATTAGATATTGGGGCCTTTGTTGGTATCTAGAATTGAGATATAGAGGTAGTTTTGGAAATGAGAACTATAATTCTACGAAAAGTACGAAATTGTACTAAATTTGGAATTGGGTGAAGGAATGCAGCTGAAATCCTCGAATCTGAAATTGAGGTCTCTATTGGTACCTGAAATTGAGGTGTGGGGGTGTTTTTGGAAACGTGCACCATAATTGTACGAAAAGTACTAAATGGCACTTTATTGGGTATTTGGTAAAGGGATAGAGCTGAAATTCCGAAATTTGATTTTTGAGGTACCTTTAGGTATCTGATGTTGATATGTGGTGGTGGTTTTGGACATGCGTACTAAAATTGTACAAAAAGTGCTATATAGTACCAAATTTGGTGTCTAGGATGGAGTGATGTAAATTGTTTTGGGTGTGCGTACCTAATGTTAGTAAATTTCGTATTGGTTAAAGGAATTGAGTTCACTGTTCGCTTTTAGGATATACATATGGAAAAATGTTATGTGGCTACATTGTTTAATGATGTTACTAATATCTTCCTCGATAAACTTCAAAATGAAACATTTGAAAGAATTTTTGATTTATAATCTAAACATTATGAAAGCTATATCGAAATCTGAAGCGATTGATAAAATTTGGCAAATATATTTCTGACCTATATTTGATATATTTCCCTGAATATCGTTGTTACGGAGTGCATATTACGGTTGTGGGGAACAAATATAACAAATCAGATGAACAATATATATGGAAGCTATAGCTATATCTGAACCGATCTTCATGAAATTTGACGTACTAGCTTCTAGACTAGAAATTCGGTCGTAAGTGCCAAATTCCATCCCATTTGGACAAATATTAGACGTTTGGTGCACAATATAAGGTAAATCGGACGAAGTTATATATGGGAGCTATATCCAAATCTGAACCGATCTCTATAAAATTTGGCAAATGTAATTTTGGGCGGTATTTGACATATTTCCCCAAATATTGTTGTTACAGAGTGCATATTACGGCTGCGGAGGACAAAAATAACAAATCGGATGAACAATATATATGGGTGCTATAGCTATATCTGAACCGATTTCGATTTGGCATAATTATTTTCAGGTTCAATCTGATCGTACGTGCAAAATTCCATACTATTCGGACTGATATTAGACGTTTGGTGCACAATAAAAGGTAAATCGGACGAGGTTATGTATGGGAGCTATATCCAAATATGACCCGATCCCGATAAAATTTAGAAAAGGTATTTCTGGGCTGTATTTAATATATTTCCACAAATATTGTTGTTACAGAGTGCATGTTACGGCTGCGGAGGACAAACATAACAAATCGAATGAACAATATATATGGGAGCTATAGCTATATCTGAACCGATTTCGATCAAATTTGGCATATTTATTTTCAGGTCCAATCTGATCGTACGTGCAAAATTCCATACTATTCGGACTGATATTAGACGTTTGGTGCACAATTAAGGCAAATCGGACGGTGATATATATGGGAGCTATATCTAAATTTTAACCGATTATCTCCAATTTCAATAGGGTTCGTCCTTGGGCGAAACAAATGATTTGTGCAAAATTCCATCTGGATTGGGCCATAAATGCGACTTGTACTTTGTTTACAAAAATACATGGACAGACGGGCGGACGGACTGACATGCATGAATCTAATCAGAATGCGATTTTATTCAGATCATCTTAAGGACCTGTGGGTCTATCTCGTTTCCTTTTGCCTGTTACTAACAAATGATCCTGACCACCTTGTACCGTCTTTAAAAAATATGTATAATTTTCTTTGAAGAAATTTTCTAAATATCCATGCTTATAACTCTGAGAGTTCTCTATCAGAGTATTTAAAAAAATGTTCACGTTTTGAAGTTTTAAGTTTTAAAAAAATATTTTCAAATCCATACTGGAATTTCAATGTCATGTGAGAAGAGATAATTTTTCATGTTAATCAAATCAAATGATATTTCGAATAGGGGTGGTCCACACATGGGCCATTGCGGAACGCCATGTCATGTGTTTCTGTCGGTCATTATTGTACACCTATGGCAGGTCCATCATAAAATCAAAGAAGGAAAAACAACAAAAATAACAATTCTACAACAAGAACGACGATACATACCGCTTTTGCCAACACCAGGCGCTCCAACGACCGCAATTTTCAATTCGGTTAAAGTGGATTTCTTGCGTCGAATGCCACGGGTCGTCATTGTTGTTGTGGCGGCAGGATGGCGGCGGCGGCGGGTGAGGAATGAAAATTATTCGATTTTGATGATGTTGTTGTGGCTACTCTTGTTTTTGCTGTTGTTGATTTTATCTGTGTTTGGATTATTTTTTTGTTTTTTGGCAACGGCGAGGGGGAGGTGTAGACGAAGTGGGAGATAGCTGCCAGTAATAAATGCGGTAGAAAACTATGCGAAATATGTTCAAATTTTATTTTGTTTATTGGTTGGGGATTATTTATTTTAATTTAGTTATTTGGTGTGTGTGTGCCAGCCAGCAAAGCAGCCCAACTAGCCAAAATTGAGACGTTTGTGGTAGATATGTTCCGGCTGAATATTTTGAATATTCTGTGGCTAGGTATTTTCCTGAATGATAAGTTAGATTATGGCACGCACTTTTCCAAAACTCCCTGCTAGTTTTGAGGAAATTAATTTGTTTTTCCTTTTTTTTTTTGGAATTTTTTATGATTTTATTGTTTGTAAACACTTGGAGATATTTTATTTATCAATTCGTTTTGTTATTTGTTTATGAAAAACAACTTTTCTTTAACTACAGCTGATGCTTGCCAAACAACAAAAAATAACATTTCAAAATCGTTGTTAAATAATTTTAATTGTTTTTTTTTTATTTTTGTTGGGAAAACAAATGCAGACACGCACACTGACACTTTCCGACACTTAAAATGTACCGCCACCAACACCCCGGCTACTGGCTACGAACTCATGGATCTTGGTATCGGGAAGACGACACAGAAGCAAAAAAAAAACAGAAAACCATTTAAAATAAATGCCATCGAATTGAAAACACAACACTGATGGGGATGGGGTTTTTTCTTTTCTATTTTTTCAGTCTTTTGTTTCAAAATTTTCAATGTCAAAATATGTTGTGGAAAAAATGGCAGGCCGACAAAATGTGAATGCCAGACAGACAGCGAGATGGACAGACAGAGCAAACGAAAACGTGAAGAAGGTGGCGACAATTGAACAATTTTCAATTCATCTTCGTTTTTTTGAGATGTTGATGTTTTTCTTTTTTTCTGAAAACACAATTTTCAAATATTTTCACAAACAAATTTTCCAAATTTTTAATTGATTTTTGTTTAAATAGTTTTTGACAACAATTAGTTTGGAAATGGCTAACAATGGATTTTTTTTTAAACAATTTTTTATTTTTTTTCTGTTTTTTTTTTCAAAATTTTTATTTCTTTTATTTAATTTTTTTTAATTAAAAACTTTTTATATATTTTTCTAATTTTTCTAAAAACCCGTTTTCTTCAATTCCATAAAAATTCAATTCCAATATTTTTCTTATTTTTTCCACTCGAAAAGAAATTCGTATTTGAAACAACGCTATTCTTCTCTGTGTTGTGTTTGTATTTCACCGTTTGCAGATTTGTACTAAAACTGATCGTTGAAGATATTTTATTTAAGAAAAAAACGTTTTATGAAAATCACACACATACCCACTCATAGACTCAGTTCGCTCGCCAAAGGTACCAATTGGATCGGCAGCAAAAGAAAACAACATTGATTTCCATTGTAGTTGCTCTTTAGGTGGCTAGAACAAGGCACAGTGGCATGAAATCGAAATCTTTTGAACTCAAATAAAATTAATACTAAAAAATGCTTTAAAGAAAGGTGTTTATTTTTTTAAAATATTTTCTAAAAATTATTTTTTTTTAACAAAAAAATAATATTTCAAACTATATCAATACGTAGATTTTTGAGAATTATTTTTTTTTGTAACTAAAATAATTTGAGGATTTTTTAAGTAAATCAATATACGGATTTAAAAAAAATATATATATATAATATATAAATCCGTATATTGATAAGATTTTAGAAAAAATAATATATATATATATATACATTTGGAACGAATTTGGAAATTTTCAGAAAAAATAACATTCGCCAAAAATTCTGTTCAAATCTTATAAATACCGAATATACCCGACGACGCGAACCTGCATAGGCAACTTTTGTCATAAATCATTACAATATTCAAATACGAAACTTTAAAAAAATCCGGTGAATAATGTAGCTAAAATCTTCAAAATACCGAATATTGAGTGGTACAGATATATGGGGCCTGGACCTGCATAGACAATTTTCTGTCATAGACTGTAGCTCCCATTACGAACTCTAAATAAGCAATTTAAAATCACCAAAATGCCGAATATTGGGATGTACCACTATATGGAGGCTATACGGAGTCGTGGGCCTGCATAAGCAATTTTTGTTGTTGGTACGAAATTTGAAATAACTCCGGTGACTAAAATCCTCAAAATATCGGATATCGGGGGGTACCGTTGAATGTGGGCTATACGATATCGTGGACCTACAGGGTGAGATAAAAAAAATCCGCAACAAAATCAAACGCCATAATTTTTACATTTTTTCTAAATTTTATTGAAGGAAAGCAAAAAATTTCGGAAATAGGATCAAATTTTAGAATAAGTTTAGATTTGTTCGAATTGGTCACCTTTGGCACTAATTATGGCCTACAAATGCCCAATGAAACCGTCACACGCCGCCCAAATGTTGCTCTGCGGTATTTTGATCCATTCCCGGCGAAGCGCTTGCTTGAGGTGATCGACACTTTGGTATTTTTTAGTGCCAACCTTGCATTCCAAAATACTACACAATTATCCAACGGATTGGTATCCGGAGATATTGGTGGCCATTTTGGTGCGCTGGAAATGAAGCGAGGTACCTTATTTTGTAACCATTCTTGGGTGGCGCGTGCTGAGTACGATGGTGCTGAATCCTGTTGGAATGTCCAAGGTCTGCGGCCAAAATGTTTGAGTGCCCAAGGCTTTAATACGCCATCCAGAATATTTTCGCGATAATATTCGGCATTTATTTTTTTATTTTTATTTTTTTGATGTCGGGTGTAAAGATGGAATATATCGGTCCACTTCTTCTGGTACCTCCCCTACAAATGCGCAACATTTTGGATATCCATGAAGCTCATAAAACGCGAATTTATCATTCGATTCCAATTCAGACTTGGCACATCTCAATATTTCTATAAACATATAATCTGTTATAAAGATTATTAAACTCGGATAATTCCTTCTGGTACCTCCCCCCACAAAGGGTTAACGTTTTGAATAACCAAAACGGTCATAAAATCCGAAATATGCATACGGTTCTCTTTATATTTCCCACATCCCATTATTTCTACTAACACAAGATCTGCTTTAAATATGGGATACATCGGTTCACTCCTTCTGATACCTCCCCTCCCAAAAAGGATCAAAATTTTGAATATTCACAAAGCTCTTAAAACCAAAATTAACCTTCGATTCCACTCCAAACTTGGTACATCTCATTATTTCCATCGACACAAGATATGTTATAAAGATGGTAGAGATCGGAACATTTCTTTGGAAAAGCAAAACGCTCAAAGAAAGCGAAATAGGTTTCTTAATTCCAGATACCAATAGTGACATCCATACCAAATTTCAGGACTTTAGTTATTTAAATTTCAAATATTAGAATTTTACCTCTATCCCTTTATGCAGTACCTAATTTAGTAGCACTAGTATTTTTCGTACAATTAAAGTACACATTTTGAAAACCACCACATCTAAATTCCAGATACCAACAGAGACTTCAATTTCATTTCAGCCATATCTCTTCACCAGATACCAAATTTTATATAATTTAGTACTTTTCGTACAAATATGGTACGTATTTGCAGAATTACCTCCATCTATGTCAAATTTCGGGAATCCAGGTCTATCCCTTCAATACCCAATTTAGTACCATCTAGTGTCCAATAACCAATTTAGTACAACTTGGTACTTTTCGAGCAAGTTTAGTACATATTTCCAACACCACCTCCATTTCTAATCAACAGACACCAACAGTGACATCCATAACAAATTTCAGGATGTCATCACTATTCCTTCAACCTATACCAATAGTACAATATTACGGCCAATTATAGAACACATTTTCGAAGTCATCTCCATATGTTCAGGATATACATAAAAAGCATCTTTAATACTAAATTTCAGATTTCAAGCACTTTCTGTTCACCCAATATCAAATTGTACCAAATACAGTACTATTTAGTTATTTTCGTGCACTTGTTGTACACATTTCCGAAACCACCTCTTTACCACAAATCAATCACCAACAGGGACCCAAATACAAAATTTTAGCTTCATCCGTTCAACCCCAAACCAAACTGAACCAAATTTAGTACCATTTAGGACATTTCGCACACTAAGTACACCATTTTTGTAAACAAAGTACAGATCGGATTTATCGCCCTATCCTGATGAAATTTTGCACAAATCATTTGTTTGGACCAAGGACGAACCCTATTGAAATTGGAGATAATCGGTAAAAATTTAGATATAGCTCCCATATATATCTTCGTCCAATATCAGCCCGAATAGTATGGAATTTTGCACATACAGCCAAATAAGTATGCTAAATTTGATCGAAATCGGTTCAGATATAGCTATAGCTCCCATATATATTGTTCATCCGATTTGTTATTTTTGTCCTCCGCTGCCGTAATATGCACTCTGTAACAACAATATTTGGGGAAATATATCAAATACAACTCAGAAATACATTTGCTAAATTTTATCGAGATCGGTTCATATTTGGATATAGCTCCCATATATAACTTCGTCCGATTTACCTTTTATTGTGCACCAAACGTCTAATATTTGTCCGAATGGGATGGAATTTGGCACTTACGACCGAATTGAGTCTGGAAGCTATTATGTCAAATTTGGTGAAGATCGGTTCAGATATAGCTATAGCTCCCATATATACTGTTCTATACTGTTTGTTATATTTGTTACCCACAGCCGTAATATGCACTCCGTAACAACGACATTCAGGAAAATATATCAAATACAGCTCAGAAATATGTTTGTCAAATTTTATCAAGATCGGTTCAGATTTGGGTATAGCTCCTATATATGACTTTTATCCGATTTCAAATTAATTGTGCACCAAATGGGCAATACAAGTCCGAATTTAAGAGATGCAAATGCTTCGGCATATTTAGTCTTTTGAACTTTAAATTATAATTATAATCACAGCTTGTATGATTGAATTTTCCCATAAAAACTTTTAATTGTTATGTGGAGCTCTACTAAATTAGCAAAGTGGTGTAGGGTATCATAAAATCGGCCCCGCCCGACTTTAAGACTTTCTTTTCTGGTTTTAATTTCATTTAAGCGAAGATCGTAAAAAGTCTCGTTTCGCGATACTGTGTTTTTCCTCGTTGTTGCTATCATTGTTTTTTTGCTGTTGTTATTCGCTGCGCTGTTTTATCATTTCAGCTATTTTCAATATAAAATCCATTAAAAATAGATTTACGTTTTAAGAGAATGCAAATCGTGTTTATCTCACACCGTATCTGATGAATATATCTATGTATCTATCTGTCTTGTTGGGGCCGACATTCTCTTTTATTTCATTTCTCGCATTCCATCATTTTTTGAATTGCAAATCGGGCAATTTATGAGAATTTACAAGGCAGTGGTGAATGCATTTCGAATAACAAATAAATAAACATTTCATTTACAACATATTTTATGTTGAGAATTTTCGTTCTCAAAACACACGCACACAGATACATTTCGTGGTATTAGCATATTTTTATTGACACAGGTTCTCTCTCACGTTTGTTAAGAGAGAGATCTTGGTACTTGCTAGAAATTGTTTACATTTTTTCCGACTAGGGCTGCCAACATGGGAATTTTTGTGCAATCAAAAGATATAAATATTGGAAAGAAAGTACTAAAAAATTTGTATTAGAAAATAAAATAAAATGGTATGTAAAGAAGATTCCTGTAAAAACGTACTAAATCAGGTAAAAACAAGTAAAGAAAGTCTTAAAGTCGGGCGGGACCGACTTTATGATACCCTACACCACTACTGCTAATTTAGTAGAGTTCCGCATAACAATTAAAAGTTTTTATGGCGAGAATTCAATCATACACGCTATGATTATAATTAGAATTTAAAGTACAAAGGACTAAATATGCCGAAGCATTTGTACCTTTTAAATTCGGACTTGTTTTGCCCATTTGGTGCACAATTAATTTGAAATCGGATAAAAATATATATGGGAGCTATATCCAAATCGGAACCGATCTCGATAAAATTTGGCAAAGATATTTTTGAGCTGTATTTGATATATTTCCCTGAATATCGTTGTTACAGAGTGCATATCACGGCTGTGGGTAACAAATATAACAAATCGGATGAACAATATATATGGGAGCTATAGCTATATCTGAACCGATCTTCACCGAATTTGACGTACTAGCTTCAAGACTCAATGCGGTCGTAAGTGCCAAATTTCATCCCATTTGGACAAATATTAGACGTTTGATGTACAATAAAAGGTAAATCGGACGAATTTATATGGGGGAGCTATATCCAAATCTGAACCAATCTCGATAATATTTGGCAAATATATTTCTGAGCTGTATTTGATATAAAGAGTGATAACTTTTTTTTTTTAAAAAACGCATAAAATTTGCAAAATCTCATCGGTTCTTTATTTGGAACGTTAGATTGGTCCATGACATTTACTTTTTGAAGATAATTTCATTTAAATGTTGACCGCGGCTACGTCTTAGGTGGTCCATTCGGAAAGTCCAATTTTGGGCAACTTTTTCGAGCATTTCGGCCGGAATAGCCCGAATTTCTTCGGAAATGTTGTCTTCCAAAGCTGGAATAGTTGCTGGCTTATTTCTGTAGACTTTAGACTTGACGTATCCCCACAAAAATAGTCTAAAGGCGTCAAATCGCTTGATCTTGGTGGCCAACTTACCGGTCCATTTCTTGAGATGAATTGTTCTCCGAAGTTTTCCCTCAAAATGGCCATAGAATCGCGAGCTGTGTGGCATGTAGCGCCATCTTGTTGAAACCACATGTCAACCAAGTTCAGTTCTTCCATTTTTGGCAACAAAAAGTTTGTTAGCATCGAACGATAGCGATCGCCATTCACCGTTACGTTGCGTCCAACAGCATCTTTGAAAAAATACCGTCCAATGATTCCACCAGCGTACAAACCACACCAAACAGTGCATTTTTCGGGATGCATGGGCAGTTCTTGAACGGCTTCTGGTTGCTCTTCACTCCAAATGCGGCAATTTTGCTTATTTACGTAGCCATTCAACCAGAAATGAGCCTCATCGCTGAACAAAATTTGTCGATAAAAAAGCAGATTTTCTGCCAACTTTTCTCGTTAGTAAGTCTATTCATGATGAAATGTCAAATCATACTGAGCATCTTTCTCTTTGACACCATGTCTGAAATCCCACGTGATCTGTCAAATACTAATGCATGAAAATCCAAACCTCAAAAAAATCACCCTTTATTTCCCTGAATATCGTTGTTACAGAGTTCATATTGCGGCAGCGGATAACAAAGATAACAAATCGGATGAACAATATATATGGGAGCTATAGCTATATCTGAACCGATTTCGATCAAATTTGACATTCTAGCTTCTAGACTCAATTCGGTCGTAAGTGCCAAATTCCATCCCATTTGGACAAATATTACACGTTTGGTGCACAATAAAAGTTAAATCGGACAAAGTTATGTATGGGAGCTATATCCAAATCTGAACCGATCTCGATAAAATTTAGGAAATGTATTTCTGAGCTGTATTTGATATATGTCCCCAAATATTGTTGTTACAGAGTGCATAGTACGGCTGCGGAGGACTAAAATAACAAATCGGATGAACAATATATATGGGAGCTATAGCTATATGTGAACCTATTTCGATCAAATTTGGCATACTTATTTTCAAAATTTTAGAATAAGTTTAGATTTGTTCGAATTGGTTACCTTTGGCACGAATTATGGCCTTCAAACGACCAATGAAACCGTCACATGCTGCCCGACTCTTGCTCTGCGGCACTTTGGCCCATGCCCGGCGAAGCGATTGCTTGAGGTGATCGACACTTTGGAATTTTTTAGTGCCAACCTTGTTTTCCAAAATACTCCAGACACAATAGTCCAACGGATTGGTATCCGGAGGTTTTGGTGGCCATTGTGGGCTGGAAATGTAGCGAGGAACCTAATTTCTTGGGTGGCGCGTGCTGAGTGCGATGCTGCTGAGTCCTGTTGGAATGTCCCAGGTCTGCGGCCAAAATGTTTGCATGCCAAAGGCTTTAATACACTCTACAGAATATTTTCGCGATAATATTCGGCATTTATTCTGATGCCACGGTCGATTAGTACGAGCGGAGACCCATCGGCTGTTATAGCAGCCCACGCCATCACCATGGCCGGCGCTAGAGTTCTGGTGGCCAATCGAAGATGCACATTTTCAGCTGATCTCTTTGGCAAGTAAACACGAACATCCGTTTTTTTTTTTTTTTTTTTGTACAAACTGCTGGACAACGAATGTTTTCCCATCGGAGATCGGAGAAAACCATATTCGGCAGTTCACAAATTGCGACCAAGCCAAGCAACTCTTTAGCTCTTTTGAGTCTATTTTCTTTCTACTGCGGTGTAAGTTCTTGCACTTTTTGGGTTTTCAATGGCTTTATCCCGAGCTTATTTTTAAATATTTGCCGAATGGAATATTGCGATACGTTCAGCTCACGAGTCATTTTTCCGCCACTGCGACGCGGGTTTCGATCAAGTCGCTTCTTTACTTTTCGAACCATCGAATTGACAGCAATCTGTAGTTGGTTGCAGTTTTTTCATCTCACCCTGTATATGGCTAGGTCATTGATACAATAAAATAGTTTTTGGAAAAATAAATTAAAGGTACCAAATATGGTCCCACTGTTGTATTAAGTTTTTTCTCTGATATGTAAAATTCGCCAATTTTAAAAGAACCTCAATTATAATATATATTATTTCCTTATAATTTTTTATTAAAATACTCAAATTATTATTATTTTTTTTCTCGTATCCCAAACTAATGTGGAAAATTTCACTATTTATTGACAATTAAATGATTTCTTTATGATCCGCTGTATGATTTTTCACGTTAATAATTCGTGAGCAATCTCGGCGGGTGTTTTCTCTCCAATGATGAAATTGTGTAAATGATATAAAACAATTTGAGTTTTTATTTATTTTAAAAAGTACAATATTTATCATTATTAAGTTTTCGAAATTTAAGGTAGGTTGGAATTCCAATTGAATAGGTAACAAAATACGAAATAAAATCAATATCCTACAAAACGTGGGGGGAGTGAACACTAACATTACACTGTGCTATAAAAAATATTTACTGTAATACTTACAGGAAAAATGCAGAAGATTAGGAAATTAGAGATAAACAAATAAAAAAATCGAAAACTACCACTTAATGGGGTTATATGGGGACGTGAACGAAAATTTTTGTCATTTAAAACAGTTCCAGTGAATAATGTTGCTAAAATCAGTAAAATATCGAATATCGGATGTTACTATTATATGGGGATACACGAAAACGTTAACCTGCATAAGAAATTTTTTGTTAAAGGCTGTTGTACCCATTCCGAACTTTAAATACGAAATTTGTTACAATTCCGGTGAATAATGTCACTAATATCATGAAAATACCGAGTATCGGGAGGTACCGTTATATGGGGGCTATACGAAGGTTCATGTCTTCGCATACGAAATTTTTTGCCATAGGTTGTAGTACTCATAAAGATCTTCCAATACGAAATTTAAAACGATTCCGGTAAATAATGTTGCTGAAATCATCAAAATACCGACTATAGGGAGGTACCGTTATACCGAAGACGTGAACCTGCATACAACATTTTTTGCCGTACGTTGTAGTACCCATTAAGATCTTCCAATACGAAATTTGAAACGATTCCGCTAAATAATGTCGCTAATATCGTAAAAATACAGAATATCGGGAGGTACAGTTATGTGGTGGCTATACGAAAACGTAAACCGACATGGCCCATTTACGAACTTAACCTGCCTACTGGCAAACTATACATATATGCAAAATTTGTTCGATTTGATCGAAAGGACAGAAGGACATCGCTAGGTCGTCGAATTTTACTTTGCAGGGTCTATTATGAATATTTCGAGGAGTTACAAATGGGATGATAAAGCTAATATACCCTCCATATATAAAAAAAGTTACGATATCGTGGACCGATATAGCCCATTTTCCAACTTAACAAATCTGCATACAAAAGACAGATCGGTGCAAAATTTTAGATTCCTATATTTATTCGATTTGGCTCTAGCGTGATTACAACAGACGGACAGACAGGGCTAAATCGTCTTAGAATTTTACGCTGATCAAGAATATATGTGGTTTGTTATGTCTAAAATGATTAATTCGATGAGTTACAAACGAAATGACGGACTTAATATACCCACCATACTATTTATGGTGGAGGGTACACTGAGGGAAAAATCCCGTTGCGAAATCAAGCACGTATGTTGTCATTTTCGCAACGACCCGTTGTTATATTTTTGGTGAATTGTGCACGAACGTGCTCAAATTGACACCGAGACGTGGTCAACTTTCGGTACCAACAACAGCCGTGCTTAATTTGTCCATTTGTAATATTGGTAATTGCAGCCGATTACACACGAGTAAAAAATGACAACGGTGGTGCATGATTCACACACGGTCGTTGTCAATATGACACCGGTCGTGTATGAATTATGCACCACCACCTGCATAATGATGCACCACCGTTGTTACTTTGTACACCGACGTGCATGAATCGTACACGATCGTTGCCATTTTAGCAACTACCGTGTATGAATCATGCACCACCGTTGTCATTTTTTTTACTCGTGTGCAATCGGCTGCATATTTACCATTTTTTCCGTGTTATTGAAAGAGAAAGGACGCATTGTGCAAAAAATTTATTGAAAATGAATAATAATTCGCAAGATCCTCAAAATATCATTGGTGAGTTGTTAGAAATCGATGGCAATATTGTTGTGGTTCGCGATACAAACCATTGCAGCAGTCAAGATGCGGAAAACAATGAGGACGATTATATGTTAAGGGAGTTCTTAAAAGGAATAAATATGGAGTCGCTTTTTGAACAATTAAAAGGTAAGTAAATAAAAATGAATTTTTCAGTTAATCAGTGTAATTAACAAAGAATTTTCTTTTTTGTTCTTTTAGCATCACATGTAACATTTCGCAGCTTGCAGTACTTGAAAAAAGAAGATTTAAAGGAAGCAGTGCCACCATTGGGACTGCGTGTTGAATTCAGAGAAAAGCTCTTTGCTTGGAAAAAACGAAAGGTACGTATTATTTGTTTTACAGAGTTGAACTCAGTATTAATATTGTCATAACAATAGCTCGGGATTGATGACGAAACTATGTCAGTTCCATCTAAAATAGGTGAATGGTGGAAACGCAACGAGACACCTGCAAGTACTCCTGGTACTCCCGACACTACAGGTTCGAACTGCTCAAAAGCCAAAGGAATTTTGTCAGAGGTAAGGTAAGAGTAATATTTGTGTAAGCATAGTTAATGTAGTTTTTTTATTTAATATAGGATCTAACGGAATTGTTAACACATACCTCGAAGGGGAAACTAGCGCTTGAATGTAGTAGCGTTAATAAGAAATTAAGTGACGAGCAAAGAGATGATATAATTAATATAATTATTGAAGATATTTTAACCAACAATGTTACTCTTTACACTCAAGACTATATGCGCATATTGGATGAAATTTGTTCCGTTTTTCCTCTTGAAAACGAAATGAGGGTAAGATTAACAATATAAACAACGTATCTGATTATGTAGTTTCTTAACTTATAATATGTCTTTATTTTTAGGATTATTATTACATTTCAAGAAAAGGAAAGAACAACGCAAGCGGAAAACTTTATGCCAAGTATAGAAACAAGAAGTCCAAAAGAATAAAGCTTTTGATTTCCGAGCCTAGCACAAGCAAAGCAGCAACTCACACATCTCCTAATTTTTGTAACAAAGATGTTCCCGAAATTGATGAATCAGTTGAAAATTCATTGAAAGCTTCCTTACTAAGAGAATGTAATGATTGGGGATCGATCTGCGAAAAATGGAAAAGATCTTTTAACATACGGCAAAGAGATATAAAAAATTTAAGTAGCCATACATTTCTCCTTGAATGGACGAAGTTGTCCGATGCAAGAGCTTCAGAATTGGTAAGTAGCCATGAGCTATTTATTTGTATATGGATACTAATGTTTCGTTTTAGGTCAACATTGATTTCGATATTATGTATCCACAGAAAGGCAATCTTCTACTTTCTAAATGGGACCAATTTAAGAAAAAAATTTACAATTATTATGGGAAAAATATTCATAACGAACATTGCAAACAACTCTTCGCAAATGTTTTGACGGCAAGCAGCATAGGTAAATTTTAATTCCTGATTTATCATAAACATTAAAAGTAATATTTATTTTATATTTCGGTTGCAGATGCTCAAGATTATATATACGCAATACTGTTGAATTCAGTTTTACCATCACCTGCTAGGTTTAAATGTGGAAACGGTAAATTACGAAAAAAAGTAACAATAGCTGATTCGCAGGAAAGTTTCGTACTGCGACTACCGACAATTAACGATTATAAAAGGCAAATTGATACAGTCACTGAAAAGTATTACAATGCTGGATTAACTATACAGCCATTTATAATTGTGGAGGGTTTGTCCGATTTCAATATAAAAGGTTTTTATGTTTTTTTTAACCACAATTTGTTAAAATTTCAATCGTTCCTCGAATGTTTAGATACATGTTTTAAAATTTTTCATGCACTTTCTTTAAAATATCCAAATGCCTGCCAAATTCCATGGATTTTTATCCAAAAATATTTTTATGAAATTAATACTGTATATGATATAAAATCAGTTAATTTGACTTCACTTATTAATTTCTGCAACAATAATTAAAGTACAATTCAAAATGTATATTTGCTTTCGTTGCCGTAAGCATTTTGATAAGGCAAATCTTTTAATAGCTCATTTGAAAACAGACCATTTAATGTCCACTAAATTTTTAAAAGTACAATGCGTTCAGGACAACTGTAAGCAAACATTTACAAAATTTACGTCATTCAGAATTCATTTAGAAAAACTTCACAAGAATCACACAAAAGCTCCACCAATGGTTAAAGCCATTAATGTGCCAGTTGAAATGTCATCATCAAAAGAAAATGATTATACAAACAGTGAAACTGTTATTAACAACAATACAATAGAAAAGGATTTAAATGTTTTGAAAAAGAAAACCTTATATCTGTCTTTACAATTACATGGTCAAAGCTATATGCCTAGAAATCATGTTATAGAAATACAACATTCTGTTTCAATTCTGCTTTCATCCATTTCATGTACAATTGAAAAATATATAACTGATCATCCAAATTATGAAGACTTAAGGTACTTACTAAACTTTTGTAAAAATCCTTTCGAAGAAACTAGAACGGAATATAGACTTTTAAAAATTTTAAAAGAACTAAACTTTTATGATGATCCAAAGGTTTATGTAATTAGCAATCAAGTCTCGGAAATTGTTATCAGCGGAAATCCCAGTTTAGGTCCAAAGTTATCCAATATTTATATAATGCCACTGAAATTCATGATAAGTGCCCTTTTTAAAATTCCAAATCTCTTAGATTTGACATTAGAAAACTCCAAAAAATTCCTAAATTCACCTGTTTTACAAAATTTTACAAACGGTGAGTTATATAAAACTAAATTATTAAAATATCAGTACAATTTAGTTATTCCCTATGTCCTTTACATGGATGATTTTCAAATTAATAATCCTCTTGGAACCCATACATTTTCCATATGTGGTTGTTATATTAGCTTTCCTTCAATGCCACAGCACTTGTTGTCAAAACTTGATTATATATTAACTGCTGCGTTTATACCATCAAAGGATTTAAAAGAACGTGGAAATGAAGTTTCATTTCACAATCTTGTAGAAGAGTTAAAAATTCTAGAAGAAGGGGTTGAAATTTGTGTTCAACAAAGTGTTCAGAAGGTGCATTTTATTTTAGGTGTAATTATTGGAGATAATTTAGCAGTTAATAGTATTTTAGGCTACGTGCAATCATTTAACTCTAAAAGATTTTGCCGGGTATGTAGAAGAAAAAAGTCCCAAATGCAATTCGACGCAATTCAGCATTTAGATAGTTTAAGAAACCAAGAGAATTACAACTCAAATGTATTGGAAAATAATTTTCAAGAAACAGGTATTAAAAACAAGTGTATCTTCGAATCTTTACCAAATTTTAACGTCACTGAAAATTTTTGTTTTGATATTATGCATGACATTTTCGAGGGCATATGTGTCTACGATATGTCTAATGTAATTCTCGGGCTGATTCAAGAAAATATTGTTACGTTAGATTGTATTAACAGCAGAAAATCTTTATTCCAATTTGGAGAAATTGAAGTGGGAAATAAATCTGGACCACTAGATTTATGTAGATTGAAAAACTATAACTTAAAAATGACAGCTAGTGAAACTATGTGTTTTACTAATTTTTTACCTTTAATGGTAGGCGATTTAATTCCTTTCTCCAACGATCACTGGAAAGTTTTTATAATATTATTACAAATAATCGATTTACTTTTAAGACCAAGTTATATAGAAGACGATTTAATAAAATTGGAAGAATTAATTAGAGATCACCATTCACTTTATATAACATTATACGGTTCGTTAAAACCGAAACACCACTTTCTTGTCCACTATCCCACAGCTATCCGAAAATGTGGTCCCCTTAAATATCTCTGGAGCATGAGATTCGAAGCTAAACACAAGGAAGCAAAAGCCTATTTAGGAAATACTACATCAAGAGTAAATCCCTGTCGTTCATTATCTATTAAGTCTGGATTGAAATTTTCCAATTTTTTATTAAAACACGAAGATAACTTAGAACCAAATGTTATCATTAATACGCATACCATCGAAGATTTGGCAAAAGAGGAATATTGTTACAAAAAAAGTAAGCCAGTTTTAAATTACCAAAATTGCAAAGTGTCTGATGACATTTTTTTAAGGGAACTAGGTATAAAAAAAACTATTATTTAGCAACAAATAATGCCGCAATTGAACTTTTCAAAATTAAACATTTAATAATTGAAAATGAAAATGTTTACATTTTATGTAACCAAGTAAAAGTTAAAAACTTTGATTACCATTTACAATCGTATGAAGTTGGTTCTCTGAATGAGGATACAATTTTTTTAATACCAATTTTAGATTTTATTACTTACCCATTTCACTTATATCCTATGAATAATGGAAAAGTTTATTTCAGATTTAAGTTAATTTAATTTGTTTCTATACATTGAATATATGTAATTCGAATTGTTTTGTTAAATCAAATATGTATTTATATTGAATTTATGTAATTGGTTTCGTTCAATAAAATACTTTTCAAAAAATGTCGTTTCTTCTACTAAGGGTATAAAATGGAAAAGGAACGGATATCAAAAAATGACCACCATTGATTTCAATCTGACAACGGGCGTTGACAATCCGACAACGGAGCGTTGACAATCTGACAACGAAGCGTTGACGATCTGACAACGAAGCGTTGACAATCTGACAACGGGGCGTGCTCGAAATGACCACGTATGTGCTCATTTCATGCACATCTGTTGTTGAAATCGTTGCCAAAATCTCGGTGTCAAAATGACAACAGCGTGCTCATTTTGACACCAAACGTGGTTGATACACTATCATACACGGATGTGGTCATTTCATACACGGATGTTGTCATTTTTTCTCTGGGTGTATAAAATATGAATGCACGTGTATCGGCATTTTTAAAATTTTAGAACGCAAATTATTGCAAACAGAGGGACAAGAGATCCTTCCTTTTTCCACATTTCTTGAAATTTTCGGATTAAGAATCCTTGGAATTTTTTACTGTGACACTTTATAGTCCTTGCAAGTTACTTAGATAACAATACGAGGATTATTTAGTGACCATAGAGATCTTTATGATACTTTTTTTCTTAATCAGAAAGTTTCAAGTCAATATATTTCACAAAATTATTTATAATGAAATTCTACTATATGTAAGACATCAAAAGTCTGAATCTTGCCTAAACGCCAGGAATTAATCTATCTATACTGGGTGAGATGAAAAAACTTCAACCAACTTCAGACAGCTGTCATTTCTAAGCAACTCGTTCGATAGCTGTTAAAATTATTCTAGTGAGAGCTCATTATATTGTTTACAAGCGTACAAAAGCACTGAGAATTTTCCAGAAAAAAAGTTATCCGTGATGGAATTCAAGCGTGGCTGGAAGACCACAAGTGGCTATCGTTAGAGCACTCCAGCATTTAAATGTGAATAAATCTTTTGTGTCTCGTACCATCGCTGGGTTACCGTGATACTGGTAGCGTAGCCCGACGTCAAGGAAGTGGACGGAAGAAAACAGCAACATCAGCAGAAATGATTCGAAAAGTAAGAAAGCAAATTGATCGAAACCCGCGTCGCAGTTGCCGAAAAATGGCTCGTGAGCTGAAAATATCGCAATATTTCATTCGGCGAATATTGAAAAATTAGCTCTGGGTATAGCCATTGAAATTCCAAAAAGGGCAAGAACTTACACCACAACAAAAAGAAAATAGACTCAAAAGAGCAAAATAGTTACTTCGCTTGGCCGAAAGTGGTGAACTGCAGAATTTGGTTTTCTCCGATGAGAAAACATTCGTTGTCCAGCAGTTTGTAAACAAAAAAACGATCGTATTTACTTGCCAATGAGGTCAGCTGAAAATGTGCACCTTCGGTTGGCCACCAGAACTCAAGCGCCGGCCATGGTGATAGTGTGGGCTGCCACAACAGCCGATGGTCACTCTCCGCTCGTATTAATCGACCGTGGCATCAGAATAAATGCCGAATATTATAGCGAAAATATTCTGGAGGATGTATTAAAGCCTTGGACACGCAAACATTTTGGCCGCAGACCTTAGACATTCCAACAGGACTCAGCAGCATCGCACTCAGCACGCGCCACAAAAGAATGTTTACAAAATGAGGTTCCTCGCTTCATTTCCAGTGCACAATGGCCACAAAAATCTCCAGATACCAATCCGTTGGACTATTGTGTCCGGAGTATTTTGGAAAGCAAGGTTGACACTAAAAAATACCAAAGTATCGATCAACTCAAGCAAGCACTTCGCCGGGAATGGGCCAAAATACCGCAGAGCAACATTAGGGCAGTGTGTGGCGGTTTCATTGGCCGTTTGAAGGCCATAATTCGTGCCAAATGTGACCGATTCGAACATATCTAAACTTATTCTAAAATTTGATGCTATTTCCGACATTTTTTGCATTCATTCAATAAAATTAAAAAAAAATGTAAAAATTATGGCGTTTGGCTGTGTTGCAGTTTTTTATCTCACCCTGTATATATTTTGTGAGGTCTAAAATAAAATATAAAATAATAACAAACGGAATGGCAAACTTAATATACCCTCCATAATATAGTGGAAGGTATAATAAACAAGTAAAAAAGCTGTAAACTCGGCCGGGCCGAACTTTGAATACCCTCCACCATTTGGAAAAAATTTGGCGATTTTCAAAAAAATAATATGCGTTAAAAATTCTGTTAAAATCTTAAATATACCGAATGTAGCCGTTACATGAGGGTCTATACGGGAAAGTGGAGCTGCATAGACAACCTTTGTCATAAGCCATTACAATATTCAAATGCGAAACGAACAAAAAAAAAAACGGCGAATAATGTAACTAAAATAATCAAATATTCTGCAGACATAATATACATTTTGATACTAAAGGTTCATTCGATTTTCAAAACCAAGTTTTTTTTTTGTCGGACCTTCTACATTATTTAAGAAAAAATGTTCTAGAGAGGAGTTAAAAATGTCATTCTGAAAAAAAAGTATGAATGTTTTCCGAATTTGTTAATTTCCAACAAATATTATTTCTCCTCCTTAGTTAATAAATCTTCATAATTTTCTAGCAAATAGAAAATTGATTAAAAACTATCAATTTGTTGCCATATCAACCGACGCCAATAACAAATTTCCAACAATTATCAGGGGCCACCTGATGGACTGAAGTAGTTTGTCCATGGAAAAATAATTTATGACTGGACATTTGTCAAACAGACCCACCCACCACTTGAGTTA